GATGCTGTATTTTCCTTCTCGATCCTCCACACTGTATTCCGTCAACTCATTGCTTTTTAAATAAATATCCACTTGACTACAGGGTCCGTCCAGCACTGCATGGCACACGAATCTTAATTCCAGGCACGCTTCTGTCACCTCTGGCTCATCTCTTCCTGTAAACCAATCCCAAACCCCACACTCCCAAACGTAGGTCTCCGGAAGCCCCCTCTCCCCAGTCAGCTCGCCAGCCACGCTGGACAGGAGGCAAGCGCCAGAAACCCAGAAACGGCGGCCCTCCCCACGCGGGGTGTGGCCCTGAGGCGGCGAACGCGGAGGCGGGAACGCGGGAATTCGGAATGCAGTTAAGAAAGATTTCGCCCCAAGATTCCTAAGAGAGATGGTGGTAGGACCCTGGAGGACAGTTAGCAGGAGCATGAGGTTGGCGAATACTATGCCTTTAAGCTCATTTTGAGAAAGCTGTGATGCCACGCCCAGGCCAGAACCCCAGTGCACATGGAGGCAGCCAACTGCTTGGCTGCCTGATCTCTGATCCCTCTCCCATCACTCACCCCGGAGTTACACCCCACGTCGAGCCCCAGAATCGGCTTCGTCTGGGGACCCTGAGGGAAGAGCCGGCGAAGCAGCTCCGGGGGCAGGAGACGGAGCCGTTGCTCTGGAGGGTGGAAGCGGGAATAATGAGGGAAATTTCCGAACGGGGCGGCCCCGGGTTCCAGAACTCGCGGCTCCCCTTCCGACGCGGCCTCCTCAACCCCGAAATTCTCTCTTGCGGACGCCGCCATTAGCCTCAGTGTGGCCTCTGGGTCCCCGCGGAACCGGAAGTCAGGAACCTGAGGCTCCGGGCCAGCGCGCCTGCGCTGAGTGGCGGAGGCGAGTGAGTATAAAAGCCGGATGCACGGACCGCGCGCTGACATCTGGCGTTTTCCTTAAGTTGTAGAGTCTTCATCACAACCTAGGAAGTGGTTAGTAATATTATCCCATTTTACAGATGAGGAAACAAGTACCAAGGGGTTAAGAGACTTACCCAAGTTTCAACTTAGACTACCCAGAACATGGAGTTTGTTGGGATCTTAGAATCAATTTTGATCTTTTTTTTTTTTTTAAACAAATGTATAAAGGGAGACCCAGGGTAGAATTACTTGTCCCAGGTCACACAGTAAAACTGTGACACAGGAATTTGCACCTGGCTCATCTATGATTTCAGAAACAGGTGGTCAGGAGTCTTTCATCACTTGAGGTACCAAAAGACCCAGATGGCCCTACCCTGCCAGGTGAGACAGGTGGATGGGGCAACTGTAGGCTGTTAGCTTCTTGAAAGGCAAGGACTATGCTTTAACTTAGCCAGCACTTAAGAATGCTTACCGGGTGCTAGACACTTTTCTAAGCCCTTTACATGTGTTAACTCGTTTAATCCTCACACTAAACTTGTGAAGAAAGGACCATAATTATTATCCCTTTTGTGTAGATAAGGATATTGGGGCACAACGAAGTTAGAAACTTGCCCAAGGTTACACAGTTAGAAATAATGGTGCCAGGATTTGAACCCATGCAGTTTGGTCCCGGAGAGTGTGCTTGCAACCATTATGTTATTCTGGACCTTGAATTCCCTATGCTCGTCATAATGCCTGGGCCAAAGATGCTCAATAAATATTTGGTGAATGAAAACTCACTATCAACAATGGCTATTGGGAAAACTGGCTATTCATATGCAAAATGTGAAAGTCGACCCTTATATTACGCTCAAAATGGATTAAAGACTTAAACATTAAACATAAGACCGAAACTGTATGACTCTTAAAAAAAACAAGACTTCATGAAAAAAAAAGACAAAACAAAAGACTTCATGACTTTGATCTTGGCAATGATTTCATTGATACGAAAACAAAAACAGACGACAATAGCGAAAATAAGTGGGGCACAGCAAAGAGAATCATTGAGAGAGTAAAAAGGCAATTTATAGAATGGGAGAACATATTTGCAAACCGTATTTCTGATAAGGGATTAATTTCCAAATATATAAGGAACTTTTATAACTCAACAGTAAAAAAACTAATAACCTGATTTTAAAATGGTCAAAAGACTTGAATAGACATTTCTCCAAAGGAAAACATACAAATGGCAATAGGTATATAAAAAGATGATCAATGTCACTAATCGTCAGGGAAACGCAAATCAAAATCACAATGAAATAACACCTGACACCTGATAGGATGGGTCTTATAAAAAAAACAACAGGACAACAAGTGCTGGCAAGGATGTGGAGGAATTGGAACCCTTGTACATTATTGGTGTGAATGTAAAATGCAGCCTCTGTGGAAAACAGTATAGAGATTCCTCAAAAAAATAAAAATAGAACTGCCATATGATCCCATAATCCTTTCTGGTTCCAAAAGAATTGAAACCAGAATCTTGAAGAGATATCTGTACTCCTGTGTTCACTGCAACATTATTCACAATTGTCAATATGTGTGGAAACAAATGTCCATTGACAAATGAATAGATTTTTTAAAGTGTAGTATATACATACAATGAAACATTATCTTAAAAAAGAAGGAAATCCTTTTTTAAATCCTTCTTTTTTGCGATAACATGGATGAACCTTGAGGATATTATGCTAAGTGAAATAATCCAGTCATGGAAGGACAAATACTGCATGATTCCGCTTAAACAGGTTACCTAAAATAGTCAAACTTATAGAATCAAAGAATAAAATGATAATTGCCAGGAGCTAGGGGAGAGAGAAAGGGGAAGTTGCTAATCAATTGATGTAAATTTCAGTTATGCAAGATGAATAAGTTTTAGAGATCTGTACAGCATTGTGCCTGTAGATAACAATGCTCTATTGCACACTTAAAAATCTGTAAAGTGGGCAGATCTCATGTTAAGTGTTTTTAACACACACACACACACACACACACACACACACACACACACACAAACTCAATAGAGGTTGCAAGTTATTACTTTAGTTTTGCAAAAACTAAAATGGAAGGGAGAAAGGAACCAATCGGAAACAGACATGGTGGAATGAAGCTAGGCAGAATGTGGGCTGAGCCAGCAATAGGAAAAACAGCTGGTAAGGATAGAAACTGAGAGGTCAGCCTAGGTGGCAGGTTCAAATCAGAAGCCAGGATGGGCCAGAATATCCAACGGGTTCAGCCAGGGGTCAGCAGAGTTGTGCTGTGCTGACCTCTCCCTACTTGGCCAGTCATCTTAAAGGGGCCTCCTGTTTCATGAGGCCAGAGATTTGCTTAACTTCTTCTAAGGGACTGAAGCATGACCCCTGTAGGCAGTGCTATCAGGGTAAAAAATAGGCCCTGTCTCTTTTCCTCCCAGTTTTAACTTCATACTTTCATCTCTGCCTGATCTATTTGGGGACATAAGTTAATGACCAAAGTGACAGTGGAGTTGTCTTAAAGGGGCCTCCTGTTTCATGAGGCCAGAGATTTGCTTAACTTCTTCTAAAGGACTGAAGCATGACCCCTGTAGGCAGTGCTATCAGGGTAAAAAATAGGCCCTGTCTCTTTTCCTCCCAGTTTTAACTTCATACTTTCATCTCTGCCTGATCTATTTGGGGACATAAGTTAATGACCAAAGTCACAGTGGAGTTGAGTAAACCACAATACTTTGCACACCTTCCAGAAAAGGGAAAAAAGGCAGCACTGGTACCATTTCTCTTTTCAGGATTTGACAGATTATGGTGAACTGAGTTTACCCATTTGTGTTACTAGTTGATGCTAGCACAAACATCTGACAACGCTTAATTTTCAAGGAGGTAGAATCATTTTGCTTTACTAAACACTTTTTTTGTTTGTTTAAACAGCATGTTTTTTGTTTGTTTGTTTGTTTGTTTTTTGGCCAGTAAAGAGTTTAATTTCATTAAGGACATTAGAATGTTTTTGGTACTTGAAACACTGTTCAGTGGAAAAAACAAAACAAACAAAACATCAGACGTAGATGGTGAAAGGCAGGGCTCCTCCTGATCCTGGGATCCCCAAGAAGCAAAGACAGCAGCGGGCCTGGTAATGTTTCTGGGGACCTAAAATGCCTCAGAGGTGAGCCCATGAAAAAACATTTTAGTTTGACCCACTCTGACTTTTTGAACCTGTGCCCATTTTCCATAGCCTGATCAATCCAAATAACCTAACAATACTCAGCTCCTGGGCATGGTATCTGAGTAACCAGCCCCAACACCTCAAATAGTTGTAGCAGTATCTACGAGCATGCTCTGCACTGCAGTTGGCCAGGTTTAGTGGAGCTTGATGCTTATTCAATTGTGGGAGTGGGGATGTTTTAAAGAAAAAAATTAGAAATGTAAAGATAGATGTGAAAATGAATATTTGTTTATGATGAGAATATAAATCACAACAAATCATAAAATTTTTAAAGTTGATAATACCACAAATATCACAAAAAAATCCCCATAATAGTTTGATGAAATAAATTCCAGGCACACTTGAATATTAGTTTTTCCTTACATTTTTGTACATGTACTCTTTGATTGCTTCTTCATAGGGCAATGATTTAATAATACTACTTTATAGAGAGAACTACAAAAATAATTCAGTTTTTTCTTAGCATGGCAGATCAAAACTGTCTTTTGTTATTTAATCATTTAGGAAAGGTTCAGGTTCACAATTTGTTATTGGCAATGTCATGCAAATGCTTAGGTTCGTTATCAAATTGGGGGAAAACCTTGATCAAATTTCATTTATGAGCTATAAGAATTCAGAGCATTTCAAATTTTCCTGTGCAGGGTCCAATCTTAGATGTATTATTCAAATTGACTACATTTGCTAGCTGATTTGTGTTTGAAAATCTCATTATAGATGGTGTATTATGAGTTTTTTTATTATCTGTGTTGATATCGGCAATTTGTGTCCAATCATCAAACATTGTAAAAAGATTGGAATTCTGATAAATTGTAATTTGAAAAGTTCCCATCAAAAGAGAAAGGAATGTATGGTACATTTATAATGATATATACCGTTAGCAAGTATATTGCCAACAGGACAAAACTTTTGACTGATGTAAGGACAGAATTCTTAGCTTATATTTTTGCACAGCTGACAACTGGAAAAATTTTCTTCAGACTAGTTTCTGGCTTCATACATTTTTAAAACTTGATTCTCCTCACTCTCACGTACTTCTGGTACCAGATGCTGGATGAAGTGTTTAGTTTTTTTTTCTTGTCTTTTTCTTTTTTTTTTTTAGGAATTGACTGTCAGTTTTATTAGGCTCAGAACAGGAGTCCATGGATCTTGAGGATCTCTGTGTACCTTTCTATCAGTTTCCTTTTCCACATTCTTTTCAGCCTGTTTCCGTAGCCTTGTGAGCTATTTTTACTTCTGATAATGGGTTCTTGGCCTTCCTCTTCTCCAGAGTGGCTGTAACTGCCTGTACTTTCAGCCAACCTCATAAGCTAGGCGCCCTAGGTAGAAAAACTTCCATGTATGCTTCAAATGCACAATATTGAGGGCAACAAGAACCACCATTCACTTTTTCTTGTCATAGGATGGCAGGATTCCGTCAAACACCTTGAGGCAGGCAGTCCACGGCAGCCTGGCCCTGCTTGTTCTGGTTGGGGCAGCATGCCTTGCGTGGTCCGCCAAAAGATGAGGCTGGGCGCTCGGAAGAGGTAGGTGCTCCAGGATGGGTTGGCGTTCAGCTGGTTGAGGAGGAAGACCAGGTACTTCAACTTGTTTCTCTAGAAATTGCCAGAAATATTGATGCCCTCATGGCACACGGCCACTGTCTCCTGGCCCAGTAGTACCTGCTTGGCCACGATGGCCACCAGGTGGCCCAAGAGATGGCCTCAACCATCGAACACCAGGA